TCTTAAATTCAAAGAACAAACTGAGGGTTGCTGGAGGGGAGGTGAGTAGGGGGGAAAAAAGATAAAATGTAAAAGAAATCAAAGAGGTACTTGGGTGGTGCAGATGGTTAAGCGCCCGACTCTGATCTCACCTCAGGTTATGATCTCATAGTTTGTGAGTTCAAACCCTGCATCAGGCTCTGCACTGATGGCACGGAGCCTGCTTGGGATTCTGTCTCTCCTTCTCTCTGACCCTTCCCCACTTGTGCTCCCTCTCCTTCTCTGTCTATCAAAATAAATAAACTTAAAAAAATAATAATAAAATAATAGGTACAATAAATGTTCTCTAATCATGATACTTTTTTTACCCATGGGACCTAAGTCTTGCTAAATGTTTTTGTTATTCTAATTTAAAACAATTTATTACCTTACCAATTTCATATAAATTTACACTGAATTTAATTTTTTTGTTTATTTATTTTTGAGAGAGAGCACAAGCAAGGGAGGGGCAGAGAGAGAGAGAGAGAGACAGCGGGTCCAAAGTGAGGCTCTGTGCTGAGAGCAGTGAACTCTGATGTGGGGCTCAAACTCACAAACCATGAGATCAAGACCTGAGCCAAAGTCTAATGCTCAACCCAATGAGCCACCCAGGTGCCCATAATTTTAAATATTGCCAAAATACCAGAAAGTAAAAAACAAGAACATTTTAACTACATTAACTACATGTCTCCATTAAATATTTAGGGATGTAACCATTATGTACCAGCTCTGTTAGGCACTGCAAGTATAAAAGAGAAGAACAAGCATCAAATCCTCAACACACAAACAATACTAAGATAAAATTTATAGTATTTTTTAAAGCGTCATGGAAACAAAGCCACTATGTCCAAACAGGTTTTTAAATAACACTTAGAAAAAGTAAAATATGAGTGAGGCCTTCAATGATGAGGTAGGATTTAACCAGGTAGAGAAGCCATTTGAAGTATACCAAAAAATAATAATAAACAAATAAAATCTTTAACCTTTTCTAATTTCTAAAATCTATGGGACAGTTTCTTTTCAGGATCATTAAATCATCCATTGAAATCATATTTAAATTCCTACATGTTTTCTCAGACATTGTTTTCAGTCACGTAACCGAGAAAGTTGATAAATCTATCTAAAACATAGGCACAACCAAAATAAGCATTACAATTAAAAAAAAAATTTCGGGGCACCTAAGTGGCTCAGTTGGTTGAGCACCCAACTCTTGATTTCAGCTCAGGCCCTGGGCCAGAGTCGTGGAATCAAGCCCTGCATCAGGCTCCTTGCTAAGCGTGGAGCCTGCTTAAGATTCTCTGGATTAGGAGGAACTTAATGGAGGACCATGGGGGAGAAGTGGGGGAAGGGGTGAGAGGCAAACCATGAAAGACTCTTGAATGCTGAGAACAGACTGGGGACTGATGGGTGTGGGGGGAGGTGGGGGGTGGGCATGGAGGAGGGCACTTGTGGGGATGAGCACTGGGCGTTATATGCAAACCAACTTGACAATAAACTATTTGTTAAAAAAAAAAAAAAAAAAAGATTCTCTCTCCCACCCTGTGCCCCTCTCCCCAGCTCACACTCTCTCTCTAAAAAAAATGAATAAATTCCTAAAAAGAAATTTTTCCTCCCCATTTATGTCCTCAAAGTATTACAGCTATAAAAAAGGATATAGGTTATATGACCTAGACAAACTTGGAGCTTTCAAAAAATTTAAAACTTAAAAAATTGCACCACTACTCTTTCCTGACATTTTACATAATGCATACTTTATTAAGGTTTTATAATAATTCATCCTTTCTACTAGAGCATTTACCAACCCAAACAGTTCATATTCATATACACAAACTTGCTATTAAAAGGGACCAAAATTTTATTCTCCTCAAGTTTCATGTCAGTGCTCACAGAAAGACTCCAATCACAAGATAAATTATGCCCATATCACAGTCTTTGAACTTCCAAGAAAAATAAGTCAAACTTTGGATTCATGTGTTTAGATCAGGGGTAAAAACAGCAGTCCGAGAATATAATACTAAATCCAAGTCCAAGAGTATAATCCCAAATCAACGAAGTTCAACACATTCATCCATAAACATCAGAGAAGAACTTGGGTCTTCAGATAATGTTTCAAATTTTAAAAATCTAGTAACTCTTCACTGTAAGCCGTCTCAAGTGCTAAATGCATATATGCTTTTACTAAGAAAAACTCTAGCAATTAAAAGTGATATTTTTAGGGGCACCTCAGTCTGTTAAGCATCTAACTGCAGCTCAGTTATAATCTCATGGTTCATAGGTTTCAACCTGCACTGGGCTCCATGCTGACAACTCAGAGTCTGGAGCCTGCTTTGGATTCTGTGTGTGTCTCTCTCTCTCTGCCCCTCCCCTAATTGTGTTCTCTCTCTCAAAATAAATAAACAAACACTAATAAATATTTTTAAAAAGTGGTTTTTTAAAGTACCTAACTGTTTAAAATGTACTATGCCTGGAGCACCTGGGTGGCTCTGTTAGTTAAGTGCTTGACTCTTGATTTAGGCTCAGGTCATGATCTCAGAGTTTGTGAGATTGAGCCCCATGTTGGGGGATTCTCTCTCCTCTCTCTCTGCATTTTTGCTGCTAACATGCACGTGCTCTGTCTCATTCTCTCACAAAATAATTAAAATAAATAAATAAAAGGTACTATGCTCAACATCTTAATCCCTTCAAGAGCCTTCTAAGGAAGACCCTATTATCACTTCCACCTGACAGATGAAGAAATTAAGACTCTGAAATTTGAAAACCCATCCAACATTATCTCTAGTCTGATGTGTGGCTGACTGTCAAATCTAGGTCCTCCAACTCCTAATCCCAAACTCTATACCTATACAAAGGATGGGGGCCATTTAAAAAAATTTTTTTAATGTTTTATTTATTTCTGAGAGAGAGACAGCATGAGCAGGGGAGGGTCAGAGAGGCAGGGAGACACAGAATCCGAAACAGGCTCCAGGCTCTGAGCTGGCTGTCAGCACAGAGTCCGACACGGGGCTCGAACTCACAAACCATGAGATCATGACCTGAGCCGAAGTCGGATGCTTAACCAACTGAGCCACCAGGCGCCCCAAATGGGGGCCATTTTAAAACACTCTCCAAAGAAGCAGGGTTTTTCAAAATGCAGTACTATAGTTCTAACCTCAATTTAATCTTCTCAAGTATATATTGAGAATTTATCTTGCAAAGCATGGTAAAGAAAACTATAAAATTTACTTAGGTGTATAAAGCAATCTCTGTGCCAAGAGTTTTGTTATCACATGCTGAAAGAGGTAAATACAAGAATACTGTTCTATAAGAGCATAAGCATTCACCAAAATGTTTAAAAATCAAGTGGTTAAAGCATTTGTAAATATGCCTCAAACAGCATGTCTTTGTACCTTGTCAGATGATACCAAATTATTTAATATCTTTAAGTATGCTAAGATATTTCAGTTAAGTTTTAAGAAGATCAAGGGGCACCTGGATGGCTCAGTTGGTTGAGCATCTGACTTCGGCTCAGATGCTTCGTCATCTGAGAGCATACGAGGTCGTGACCTCATAGTTCACCGACCTCACAGTTCACAAGTTTGAGCCCTGCATCGGGCTGGCTGCTGTCAGCGCAGGCCCACTCAGATTCTCTATCCCCTTCTGTCTCTGCCCCTCCCCAACTGGTGCTGTCTCTTAAAAATAAGCATTTTTTAAAGGATCTGTATCTCTTATAAACATATACTAAAATACTTACAGAGGAAATAATACATCTTAGGTTTCTGTTAAAATAATCTGAGAGGGGAAGTAAATGGAAACAACAGTAGCCATGAATTGTTACAGTACTTAAATCCGTGTGGTAGGAGTTCATTACTATAGGGGTGGGTGGGGGTGTGGGTGTGTGTGTGTGTGTGATTTCACATAATGATATATTTTTTTTTATGATATATATTTTTTTTAATAGTATATGTACACAGTGGGCTTCTCTTCACAAAAATAAAACAAAACAAAAACTTATTCTTCCAAAGACTAAAAAACTCACATTAAGGTCACTTTCCAAATATATTACTGCTATATAATTTATCATTTTAAATCAAAATGACAACAGGCAAAACAACATTCACTGAAATTTGTCTAAAAGTCCTATCTCTGATTTCTAGCCCTTTTTACTCTATCAGGATACAACTATTCCTTCTCCAATGTAAGAATGATCTGATTCAGATCCAAAGAAAGCAGTCAAGGAGTCAGTCTACTTGGAAGACTCCAAGGTGCTTTCCAGAACTGCCAACCACCTGGTATCAAACCAGACAGTCTGAAAATTAAGGCCTTCATTAAATGTGTGATACAACTCATTAATGCAGGGGTTCAACAGCAGCAGCCACATTCACTGTCTCAATTTTCTATACTGAGTCAACAGTCAGTGGTGTACACAGCTCTGAGTGCCACCTCTCGCTCAGCCTTCCAAATACTGGTTCCGCTGTAAGCAGGAAAAGAAAAAAATGAAATGAAAATGAGATAAAGGTGAAAGGAGAGGTAATAAAGAAATTGCTATTCTGATTCTTACAAATCAATTTAGAATCCTTGCTTGTTCACAGTGCACACTTCAAAAAGATGTTAGCATTCAGACTTTCTTATCCTACTTAGATGCAACTTTTTACACTAAAAAAAATAATAATAATAACCTCTGCGTCAAAAGGAATGAGCACATGTGGTCTTTTAACAATTTTGGAAAAAAAAAAATTTTTTTAAGAGAGAAAGTGCACGGGAGGGGGCAGGGGGAGTGGGAAAGAATCTTAAGCAGACCCCACACTCGGCAAGTAGCCCAACACAGGGCTGGGTCCCACAGCCCTGGATCATGACCCTGAGCCCAAATCAAGAGTCTTGAACACTCAACCGACTGAGCCACCCAGGCACCCCTTTCTCAGTCTTATATAACTGTCAATATACTTGTTTAAGGCATATACGGTATTTAAACCAATAAAAAAAAATCACATAACTGAACTTCTTACCCAGTGTTTTCCGACTTCTCTCCACAGCTGTTCTTCGTGTTTGTTCAAACATTGCTTCCAAATCAAATGTTCGAGCCTTTTTCCCTAAACAGAAATAAGTAGCGGACTGTGATCTTCTTGCACTGAGCTGGCCAAACTTTAGGTACTCAATAAATATTTAGAACCATTTAGTCTGTTTCATTTATAGCATGGCTACGAGATAAATATCTAAGAAGAAAGAGTTTACTCCAGGGAATTTTTATGGAGAGCCAACTTTCCCATCCTCCTCTAATCCACCTGGACTCTACCCCTTAAAACTAACACTGGTGTCCTAGGCAGAAGGGAGAATGTTCACACCCTAATCTCTGGAACCTGCAAATATGTTATATCACACAGCAAAAGGGACTTTGTAGATGTAAGTAAGGTTATGGACTTTAAAACAGGTTACCCTGGTTTAAAACAGAAGATTATCCCAATCTAGTCACAGAAGCCCTTGCAAGCAAAGATGCAGAACAGATACAGCAGAAGTCAGGGAGATACGAAGTGTGAGAAGGACTGGAAACACTAGTTCATTTTAAGATCAAGGCAGCAAGATGACAAGGAATTGAGGTACCTTAAGGAGCTAAGAGACTCCCACCTGACAGCCACTAAGGAAACTGGGGCCTCAGCCCTAAAACCACAAGAAACCAAATTTTAACAACCTGAATGAGCTTGGAAGCAATATATTTGTTTTCATCGAGTTGTTTTTTTTTTTAATAATAATGTCTACTCCATGTGAGTAAGAATATGGTAATAAAAATGTCATTATTACATGATACTGACTTTTGTATAAATTGAAACAAACTTTCTGAAGAGCATTTCAACAAAATGTATAATTAGTTTTAAAAGACACATACCCAATTTTTTGGTTACTTTTTAATATTTATATTTTTATTATAGTCTCTTCTTTAGAATCTGCCCTATGAAAATACACATAAAATTCCTTTTACAACAAAGTTATTTATAAAAATGTTAATTTTAGTATTATTGAAAAAAGTTAGAAACTGTGAAAATGGAGTTTTAAAGTATTACAAATTATGGCACTTTATTAAATAGGTTACCATTCAGCCATTAAAAGTCCTGTTTTGGAAGAGCATTTTATAACACGGGAAAATCTTTAGGGTATTAAGAATTAAATAAAGCATATAATTAAGAGTAATATAAAACTATATACATATGGTCTCAATTTTCTTGATAAACACACAACAGGAAAGACTGGAAAACAAAGTTCTAAGTCTTGGTTTCTAGATCATGAGATTATTAATCACTACTCTCTTCTTTCTCACTTACTGTGTTCTTCAGATTTCTTGCTATTAATATATGTTACTTTTGACATTAGGGAAGAAGCTAAAGAAATGAAACAAAGCAAGTACTATAATAATACACAAGGATGTAGTATTTTTGTAAACATAACCACCAAGGAGTAAAAATGTGGCAGAAGACATTACCATAATGAATGAGTAAATGAACGCCAACAAGAGACATGAGCACATTAGCCTGACATCTGTTCTATCCAAGGCCCAAGAGAAGTGGAAAAACAATTTGCATTTCTTTCCTACAGACAGTAATGTTTTCAACAAATGATTACATCTGTTTGAAATGTTTATCTAATAACAAGGCTCCACAGAGAGACTAAAGTAACGATTCCGGGAAAGAAAGGCTTGCAGCAAAAAGGATTTAATAACGGTTATAATATCACTTAAAGGCTCACTTGTTGACAGAAAAGCCATCTTATTACAGACCACAGTCAATGGTTAGCTGTGTCTCAGGACACAAAAAGACAACTCCCTCCACCAACCAATACCGTCTACCGCGTGAGTCACAAAGCTATCTTTCTCTCTCACAAGGTTTTCCATAAGTGTCACCTGAGCTGGTCCCAACAGACAAGAATTAGAAAATGGATGGAGAAGAGAGTACCCAGGAATTGCAAGGTATGCACACTAGAGTTAAAGTAACTAGGACTTGGCACAGCGGAAGGTGCAGAACAGAGGTGACAGCTGGGCCTCCCCTCTCAACCTGCGGTTCTTAAAACCTCTGCAAAAGGAGACGGAGCTAAGCATTAGACAGTCACTCACCGAAGCCGGTGAAGCCCATGGTGACCGCCAGTTGCGGATCCGGTCCTGACGCGTCTGAGCCTGTCACTGGAGCAAAAAAAGAAGAGAGACCTTGTTAGTGCGGCGACGCCGGCACCTCCTGGCCCTACCCCACCCTGCCTGAAATCGCTCCACGGCACCCACCTTCACTGGGCCCGGGGCGCTCCATTGCAGGCCTCCTGCCGCAGAACGAGCCCAGGTACTACACAAACAGCAGCGGAAGACTCCCGGCAAACCCAGCAGGAAGTATCGCCTTCCAAGTCCGGCGCCGCCGCCGGGGCCAAGAGCGTCACCTTCCGCGGAAGGATCGCGGCCCCCAGAGCTGCGCCGCCCTAGTGGGCTGGCGGGGCATAAGCACTGCAGAGACTGATAATTCAGCTCTGATAATGAGAACATTATCTAGTTTCTGTCAGCATCTTTTATTTTCTTTTATTGTCCTTTTTTCTTTATTTTTGTATTTTGTAGATTTTATTCAGTAACTATATATTATGGGTATACTAAGAATTTAGAAAAGAGAGGAAGAAAAATTGAGCCCCAAGAAACAAGTAGAGCTGTGGAAGCCCTCAATCTATTTCTCAATCTTGGCTGCATATTAGTATCACCTGGAGAGGTGTTTTGTTTTATTTTGGATTTTAATTCAAATATAGTTGACAAACAAAGTTACGCTAGTTTCAGACATACAGCAGAGTGACTCAACAAGTCTATATATTGTGCCCACAATTGTAGCTATCATCTGTCACCATACAACACTTCTGCAACACCATTGCTTAGATTACCTTTGCTGTGTCTTTTTTTCCCCCCGATGACCTATTCATTCCAAAACTGGAAGCCTTTGTCTCCCACTCCGTTTCCCACTTCTGCCCAACCTCCTCCCCTCTGGCCACCCTCAATTGTTCATTGCATTTATGGGTCTGTTTCTGCATTTTGCTTGTGTGTTTGTTCATTTCTTAGATTCTACATATGAGCAAAATCATATGGTGTTTGTCTTTCTTTATCTTATTTTCTTTAGTATAATACTCTAGGTCCAACCATGTTATTGTAAATGACAAGATCTTATTTCTCGAGGGTAGAACTCACAAACTGTGAGATCGTGACCTGAGCTGAAGTTGGGCGCTTAACCAACCGAGGCACCCAGGTGCCCTAAGAATGTCTCAGTTTAAATTCTGAGTCTAATAATGTAATCTTGATTACTTACTTAGTCTCTCTGTGCTTTAAATTCTTCATCAGTTAAGTGGATAATTTAAGGATAGCACCTATCACCTTGCAGATTTTTCTGATGATTAAATGAGTTAATTTTCAAAAAGCAATTAGAATAGTGCCTGGCAAGTATTGCACACCCAACAAACGTTGGCCATTATTTTTTTTTATTTTTAATGTCTTATTTATTTTTGAGAGAGAGAGAGGGAGACAGAGTGTGAGCGAGAGAAGGGCAGAGAGAAAGGGAGAATCTGAAGCAGGATCCAGGCTCTGAGCTGCCAGCAGGGCCCAACAAACCCACAAACTTACAAGATCGTGACCTGAGCTGAAGTCGGGTACTCAACCAACTGAGCCACCCAGACACCCCAAATGTTGGCCATTATTAAGTACCAGATAGTAGTGAGAGTAGTGAAGACATAAAGCATAGTCTCTGCCCTCATGGAATTTCCATTTTAATGAGGATATTTTTAAAAACCTTAAATGCCTAATAGGGCTAGATAATCTACTTAGAGAGCTACTTGAGTAGTAGTTCTCAAAGTGTATTCTGCAGATTCCTCTAAAGGTGTTAATGAGATCAAAATTATTTTCATAATAATACTAAGACATCATTTGCCTTTTTCACTCTATTAACATTTGCACTGATGATGCAGAAGCAATAGTGGGTAAAATTGCTGGTGCCTCAGCATAAATCAAGGCAGTGAGAAACAAATTGTTATACTAGTCCTCGTATTCCTCACTGTTATATAGCTAGCTTAAACAAAAATGAATGAAATGAGTGTCACTTTGAGGAAAACAACTCACTATACTTGTTACTAATGAAAATCAGAGCTCTTAAGGGAAAATTAGAACCTTGAAAAATTTATCAAGATTGTATCAAAATTGAAAAAAAGGTTGGATCAACTACCATAAGCTTAACAACTTCCCAACATGTATAAGATATTTTTATTAAGATATATCAACACAAGCATTTTTTCTATTGATTAATGAAATAGGTCAACATTTGGAAGTCTGCATAACTTAGAGAACCAATATTTCCCAAATGACCAACACATGTTTCAGAATCATGCATGAATAGAAGGTCCATTCAAAGTACAAGATAGACAAGTGGTTCTTAATTTAACAAAGTTCAAAAAAAAAAAAAAAAAACCTCACTGATGGTTTCAAATTCCACATCATAACTAACCTGTAAGAAACTATACCACTTGTCAAGTTTAGGTATTCTATCAAAGAAGAACATTCACAACTATCTAAAAAGGTTATTAAAATACCTCTCATTTTCCCACTATGTAACTGTGTAAAGCCTGCTTTTCTTCATATACTTCAAGTAAACAACATATATCATAGGCAGCAGATGCAGATATGAAAATCTACCTATCTTATTTTCTTAAGCCAGACATTTAAGAGAGTTGCAAAAATGTAAACAATGCCATTCTTCTTATATTTTAGTTTTAGAAACTATGGTCATTTTTCATAAAGTATCATTTATATTAAAATGGATTACGCTTATTCTCTTTATTTTTTTAGGTTCGTTCTTGTAAATAACTTTTTAAATTTATAATTTTTTTTTTAATTTTTATTTATTTCTAGGAGAGAGAGAGAGAGACAGCATGAGCAGGGGAGGGTCAGAGAGAGAGGGAGTCACAGACTGAAACAGGCTCCAGGCTCTGAGCTGGCAGTCAGCACAGAGCCCGACGCGGGGCTTGAACCCACGAACCGCGAGATCATGACCTAAGCGAAAGTCGGACGCTCAACCGACTAAGCCACCCAGGCGCCCCTAAATTTATAATTTTTAAGAGATATTCTATTATTAACAAATATAGCCCATACAAAACAAAAACTCTTTATAATCCTTAATTGTTAAGAGTCTCAATAGTCTTGATCACACAACCCTGGGGTCACGGCCTGAGCTGAAGTCAAGAGTCAGACGTTGGGGCACCTGGATGGCTCAGTCGGTTAAGCCTCAGACTTCGGCTCGGGTCATGATCTCACGGTGGTTTGTGAGTTCAAGCCCTATGTGGGCTCTGTGCTGGCAGCTAGCTCAGAATCTGGAGCCTGCTTCAGATTCTGTGTCTCCCTTTCTCTCTGACCCTCCCCTGTTCATGCTGTCTCTCTCTCTCTCTCTAAGAAATAAATAAAACAGAAGAAAAAAAAAAGAGTCAGACTCTCAACTAAGTGAGACACCCAGGCACTTCGCAGTGCAGGAATACTAGACTAGTATTGCCAGATCATCCAATTTGTGAAATTGGAAACTCCCAATCATATATTTTATCTCAAATTAAAAACACTGTACCAGACCATCAGTTTTTAATCAGTGGTCTTCCAAATAAGAAGACTGACAGCTGGAGACCTATTTGCCTATTTATCCACCAATAATACAAACCTAATTTTTCCTACTATATTTACTATGAGGTCTTAAATTATATCTATAGATCTGTAATGTTATGGAAATTTTGATATTAAGAAAATCAGTCAACCCCTTATTTGAGGTAATAAAAAATAATTCAAGTAGCAAAATATTACAGTTTAGCAAAGACCATAGTTTTGTATTTTGGGGTCACGAGCACAAGAGCACCTGGTTCGAGGGATCCCCAACACAGGAGGTTCAGCCACATGCCACTGATAAAGTCCAAAGGCAGAGAGACCAGCAGTGGTAAAACAAGAAAGGAAATTATGTCAGTAAGGCCAACACCCAGAAGACAGCAGTCTCGCATCTCAAAGACTATCTCCAAAGTGCTGAAAATGACTTCTAGGTTTATATAAGTAAAATGTGAGACAAAGGTCAGTAGGTACCTGCAAGAGGGCAGCAAAGGCCAGGTCAATCAATATCTTGGGGGTCAACTACAGATGGAGTCTTGGTGGCTCAGGACAGTCCTTAGTGCTTGAAGGGGTAGTTTCAGGCTGTAAAGATGAACTTAATCAGTTAGAAAGTTTGAGGTCAAAATGGAGGTAGTTGAAGTCTTCCATCAGTTTAGCCAGTTAATAAGGAGTAATGCAGTTATTGACTAAACTATGAATATAATTGGATGAATCTTACTTAAGTGTGGTTCTAAATAGGACTAAATGAGGACAGCTACTATTTCTAAATAGGGATTGCTTTTTGATAGAGTACTTTGACCACTCAAGTTGCCTTCTGTATGAAATGGAGTCTATCTTCCCTCTCCTTGCTCATATCTTACTTACCCTTCTACTGCAGTTAATACAGACCCCATAAAAAATTATCGTGGTACACTTAATTGCTTTACTTTGTGTATCCCTGCACGTATCATGCACCTTGAGGACGGGAATGTGCTAGTTTGATATTCCCAGTACCAAGCACAGTGTGTGACACAAATTATAAATTCAATTTCTATAGGCCTTGGTGATCTATCAGGTGGCCTACTTTATACCAGTCCCTCTAATTTGTGCTGGGGAATCAAACCATGAATTAGAACACTTCTCTTCCTCTGTGTAATGAAAAATAAAGGAAGGCAGCAGCTCCCCGCATGGAACGAATGATTCAGTAAGCAGACAATTCTTAAAGTTGTAGTTCGTTGTTTTGTTTTGTTTTTTTCGATGGTGGCGGGGCAGGGGACACACAAGTGGGGGAGAGACAGAGAGAGGTAACAAATCCCAAGCAGAGTTGAAAGCAGTGTTCCAACTCAGGACGTGTGAGGTCATGATCTGGGCCTAAACCAAGAGTCAGATGCTTAATGGCCGAGCCACCCAGACGGCCCTACAATTCTTTATCATTACGGTAACCATGCACAAATAGAAAAGCCTGATGAATTTTTTATAAAGCAGGTTCCAGACACAATAGGACATCCAGAGTCGCATGCACTGCTGACTGAGCCAGCCAGAAAAGAATTTTAATTTACACTGAAGCCTGTAAAAAACGTCGTGAAATTTTGGTTCCCACGTGAACGCCTACAAACTCCACTCTCACAAGAGAAGTTGGAGTACCAAAAAAATTAACGCGCAAACTCAGAAGCAGTTGCACTTGAAGGATTCCAATCTGGGAACCCCGAGACAAGATCCAGGGCTCGCGATACCCACCAGAGCCGTTGCAGCCC